ACTGCTGGCTTTGGAGTGAGCCCAGCTCCCTTGAGCTCCTGCTCATATAAGCAGAGTCTTCAGCAGGACAGAGCTGCCTCAGATCCCACAATGGGGATCACAGCCTTAAAATCTTGCAGTGTTGGAGTGAGCACACATTGTTCAGCCTCAAAAGATGATCATCATGTGGTGTAGTTTTGCTAGATCCCATCCACCAGTCTTTTTGTGTACTCTCTGAAGGTCAGGAAAACCTGGCTGATCCTGGCTTTTGGCCTCTGGACAGAGAGAGAGAGGAGGCTGTTCAAGAAGGACAGCCAGCACAGACTGAGGAAGTGGAGGAAGGGCAACAGTGGCTGCTACAGGGCTGTTTGCTGAGTGCTCATGGAGGACATGTCTCCCTGAGGGCCTACCAAAGGCCTGCCCCTCTGCCCTACCCAAGGTGTTCTCTTCAGATTATTGGCAGCAGCAACCACTGTTACATGAGTTTGTGACACACATGTAGGTCAGTGAGCCTCACTGGCTTTCCTCCCACAGACTTACTCCATGTGTGGGTATGCAAGTGAAGGTACAAAATGAAGAGCAGGAATAGGGAACCTGTGTTCATTGAAACAGTCTGTGTTGGGATGGTGCTTGAGATATGTGCTTCTGCTTCACATCAGAGAATTGGGCAACAAGGGCCAGAGTCGTGGGTATTTCCCGCTGTGGAGGAGGGAGTTTAATGACCAGTGCTAGAGCTTATGTCATCAGCTTCCCTGGAAATAACCCCCACTCCTGCAACACACCAAAGCAGTAGTGAATGCGCATGCCTCCTGGCTTTACTTGGAAAAGGCATTTCTAGGAATGTCTGCTTGGCGTGGCCTCCTGCCTAATTGTGTTTATGAGTCAAGTTTTGTGGTGAGGCTTTAAGCCTTCCCTTCCCTAGCATCATTACACTCCCAGGCTGGGCTGTGAGCCACCCTCTCTCTCACAGATGCCTGCTGTGGAGTTCCTCAGCCCTTGCCCCAACTCAGTGGTGGACAGGTGCTGTTTGTGGGTTTGTCTTAGGCTTAAGATTGATGCAGTTAGAACTAAGAGAAAAGGGCTGGCAGGGAGCAGAGTAGGAGCACCTCCTCATGACTTCCTTGTCCCCACAGCCCTTTCATGTGCTCTCTCTGGGCTCTGACAGGTCTGCATGTTACCCTGCTGACCCCACTCCACCCCACACTCTTATTCTGAGAAGAGGCAAAACTGACTTTAGAACCCAGATACCCCCCACAATATTTAAGACCCAGGTTTCATCATGCATGTGGTTTGGGACATGCAGGTATAAAAGCCAGATATAGGCAGTTGTTCCCACTTTCAGGTTTCAGTAAAGGGATTCATTTGTTGTCACTTGAATTTTGCAAGTTCTTGATGAGCTCCATAGCACTGACCATGTTCTCGTAAAACACTAAGTCCTACCCACTTAGAGTGGCATAGTTAACTTTCATGGCACTCGGGCTTTGCAGTGTGTTCTGGGGCAGTCTGTGACTTCTTCACTAAACTGGCAACTGTCATTCATTTCTAGATTTATTTTTCCTTTACTGATTACTGTATTCTTCTCTGCCTCTCTTATCTCAGATGCAGCTCTGCACGATTAGAAAGAGACCCATAAACAGGCATGAGCATGGGCTGCAGGCATGGAGAGGACTCTCAGAATTCTTGGATATCCCAGCATGGCTACCTAGTGGACAAATATGTGCGCCCTCTAGCCACACCCTTCAGCTGCCAGGCTGCAGTCAGGGGTGAGCCTTGGGTTCTGGGCAGCCTGTCCTGGTCCTGGGATCTATAGTCAGACCCACCCCACCCTCTGGCGTGTCTGCCACATGCAGTGACCTACAGAGGAGGACAGGCTGCACTGCGCAAACCATGAAGCAGATGGCAGAAGGGCAGCCTGTAGCCGCTCCTAGGCCAGATGAGTTGGCTCAGTGTTGTTAAAACTATTGAATTGGTTGCTGATACCGGGTAGATTGTATTTGGCTGTAAGTAGCAGAGTGTCTGATTGATAATGTTTTAAGTTATAAAGAAATTTAGTTCAAGCCTTGACCAAGAAACCTGGTGATGGTTGCTCCCAGGCCAGGGCATCCCCGAGGTCCCTCTTTGTATCCTTGCTGCCGTTCCACCCCAGGGGCTTATCACCAGTGGTTACAGAGCAGCTGATGTAGCTGTAAGCATGACACTCACTTCTAGTTTCCTAACAGAAATCTGAGGCAGAGATAGATAGCTTCCCTTTCATCAGGAAGGGAAAACTTTTCTAGAAGTCCCCACCTCACCCCACAACCTTTTCTTTAGTTCTCCATGGCTGGAGTCAGAGGTAGGATGGACTATTCTGACAAACTAGTGCCCCAAACAAAATCAGAGTGATTCAAGATGTCTGCCACAGTTTTAATACTTCAAAATCAGAAAACTTCACTGCAGACTGTTTTTGCTTGAGAGATGGGAAGCTCTAACAGCACTGAGCCTTCACTCTTGCCTACAGTGCCTTGCCCTTGGGCCAGGATTCTGCCAGTCACATCACAGTGCCCGCATCCCTTCATCCTTCTGTGTACTCTGCTACACTGCCTGGCTTCCATGGGCTTCTGCTTTACGGTCCTGTCTGAGGTCTGTTTCAGTGTTGACACTTCAAATTTCAGGAATTACAGCAGGAATCTTTTCTTGCCTGCTTTATACTAAGCAGTGTTTGCAAGTAGAGTTGCAATGTCTTGAGTCATTTTATAAGTTTATGTCTGGGAGCATTTGTGCCTGGGAATGTTAGCAAAAGCATGTCTTTCAATATTCTGGTAATTAGAAATTTTAGGTAAGAATATGGAGCCCTTGGGTTAGACACCTAGGACCTTCCATGTTTAGTGACATCATGCCTTATGGTGGGTTGTGGAATATGTACAAGTATGCATGCGCATTGAGTTTCCTGTATTGCTTCTCTGTCTTAATCTAGCTGGGCAGCTACACTTAGGTTGCTAAGTTTCTTCTGCATTTGATACCTGGCTGAGTTTGTTATGCCACACCTGAATTTGCCAATCTTTTTACATTCATTTGTCTTGTCATCCTTCATAGAACAATGGACCTAGCTTATGTAGTTAGAAACTACATCTCATTCTTCTCTGAATCTCCTGCAGCACAGTTCCTGGGAAATAGCACTCAGTTGGTGTTTAAAAGAAGATGAATTTATTCCATGGGCAACTTCAGGTGTTTTACTGCCTTACAAGTCATTCAAATGTAGAAGACCTCAAAAAGCATGTGCTCTGTAGGTTCCCTTGGAATATTTATAGTTAACCCACTAGGCAGTCCAGAATGTGCTCTAAGTGGTTGGTGCTGCCACACATATGTAGGAGAAAGGGTTTTTAAAAAGCTAAGGATCAGAAGAAATAAGGATCATGGTTTCATCATTATATAGGACTTTATGGTTTGCAAAGCATATTGGCATATATTACCTCATTCCACCCTGTAAGACATTATTCCCACTTTTTAAGTGAGGTTGAGGGAAATTAAGTGACTCTCCCAAGGTCACACAGCCAGTAAGCCACTGAGCAGGGATTGAAGCTGCACTTACCATTTTCCCACAGCTCTCTGGTGACATGCTGACAGGACCTACCAAAGTCAAGGGAGACCAATATGGGAGAATATGATTAACTTTTTCAAATCATCAGAAGTAAACTACTTTTTTTTAATGTTCATTTTTATTTTTGAGACAGAGATACAGAGCATGAGTGAGGGAGGGGCAGAGAGAGAGGGAGATAGAATCCAAAGCAGGCTCTAGGCTTTGAGCTGTCAGCACGGAGCCCGACTTGGGGCTTGAACTCACAAACTATGAGATCATGACCTGAGCCAAAGTCAGACGCTCAACTGACTGAGCCACCCAGGTGCCCCAGAAGTAAACTACCTTTTATTTATTTATTTATTTATTTAATTTTTTTTTTTTTTAACGTTTATTTATTTTTGAGACAGATTCCCTTGGAATATTCAGAGCATGAACGGGGGAGGGTCAGAGAGAGAGGGAGACACAGAATTCAAAACAGGCCCCAGGCTCTGAGCTGTCAGCACGGAGCCCGGCGCGGGGCTCGAACTCACCGACCGTGAGATCATGACCTGAGCCGAAGTCGGA